GACATGTGGAAACACTTGCATCCAGACCTTGTCATCGCTAAATCTCGACCTAATTGCTACCAAACAACGTTGTGACTCGTGGATCACATCTCTTCTTGAATATCGATCCCTTCGACGTCAGGCTTTCAATGTTGCCATCCGCCATCAACTTGTTCATTGCCCTCACTATGCTTCCGATGGCCGCAGGTGGCTACTGGCCATTTTATGCACTTTACGATTGCAAGTATGCGCCTCCCTTCACGACGATCCACACTGTGGCCATGCTGGAGTGTTCAAAATATATCAACGGCTTTGTCATCACTATTACTGGCGCGGCGCATAGAATTTTGTATGCAAATTCATGCAGTGGTGTCCTGACTGCCAGCAACGCAAATCAATATCTTTACGTGCGGCTGGTGCATTGCAGCCACTTCCATGCCCTTTCAAGCCATTTGATCACGTCGGCGTTGACCTCTACGGTCTTTTTCGTTGACACCGGATGGCAATCTGTGGATTATAGTGGCGGGCGAATGGGGTGGAGCACATTCGGCAAGCACTCTCAAATTATGACAGGTAGATTGCCACTATCCCTCAAGAGGAAGGTATATAACAGCTGTATCTTGCCGGTACTTAGCTGCGGAGCAGAAATCTGGAGACTTACAAAGAAGGTTCAGCTTAAATTGAGGACGACGCTGCGAGCAATGGAAAGAAAAATGGTAGGTGTAACCTTAAGAGACAAGACGAGAGCAGAGTGGATTAGGGAACAAACGGGGGTTAAGGATATCATAGCTGAAATCAAGAAGAAGAAATGGACATGGGCAGGGCATGTAGCGCGTAGACAGGATAACCGCTGGTCATCAAGGGTAACTGACTGGATTCCCAGAGAAGGGAAGCGGGTTAGGGGGAGACAGAAGATTAGGTGTGCAGATGAGATTAAGAAGTTTGCGGGTATAAATTGGCAGCAACAAGCACAGGACCGGGTTAACTGGCGGAACATGGGAGAGGCCTTTGTCCTGCAGTGGACGTAGTCAGGCTGATGATGATGAGTGGCGGGCGACCACCTGACACACTTTGCGGAAACAGCTGCTTTGCTGAGCGCTACTGCTCCGGATGTTGTTTTTTTCATTTTACGTCACTTTATCCTTCGACATGGCGCACCTCAAGAGCTCCTTAGTGACAGAGGCCGCGCTTTCCTCTCCGAGGTCGTCAAAGCTCTGCTTTTGGAATGCCACGTCATTTATTGGACAATAACAGCATACCACCCTCAAACTAACAGGCTAACAGACCAGTTTAACCGCACGCTGGGTGATATGCTCTCAATGTACGTGGCATCTGATCATAGAAACTGGGACCGTGTTCTCCCATACGTAACATTTGCATATAACACTGCAATACAAACAACCACGGGATTCTCACCTTTCTTTCATCTTTAAATACGCGAGCCTTCCCATATACCGTATTTACTCGATTCTACCGCGCCCTGGATTGTAACGCGCACCCGGATTCCACGACGAAAAAAAAGTCAGACATTCACTGCAACGCGCACCCATTTTTCTCGTTGGCCCGCACGATCACACCACTCGGGAACATGACTCCTCTCGGGAGCATCTTCCTTTTAAATATGAGGTACGCGGAAAGCTTGTGCCTATCTGACGTGCAACAGAGTATTGCCGTCGCTCTAGTTTCACCGTGGCCCAATGTCAGCCCGCGAGCTTGCTTCGCCCCCTTCTCGACGGTTGTGGTGCCAGGCATGTCGAAGTAAAGAGGCGTCAGATGGGCATTCCCAATTTGCCCAAGTAGGTAGCCGTTGTTGTGCCGCACGTTTAGGACGAACCTCTGAAAACTGTGAAGCTTTTCATCGTACTCCTCCGGAACCTTTTCGCATATGCCCGTTAGCCTTCGGAGGGAAAAGCCTTTCCTCTTCATAAAGTTAGTTATCCAGCACCTGCTCGCTTTACACTGGCTCCGCATTAGCTCTTTTTCCAAGGCTAACTGCATAGCCTGCACATGGAGCAGTTCTGTCATCACAGGCCGCTGGGCCGCTCATTGCTCAATCACATACTTGCGAAGCAGCTCTACAATTTGCGGAAACCGATCCTGCTGTGGTCCACTGAAGCCTTTATCTTTGCTGTCAACAATCTTCTGCTTTTATTTCCGCCAGTCCCACACGCACATTTCGGGAACTCCGAATGACCGCGATGAAGCCCGATTTCCGTCCGTTTTGGCACAGGCGATGACTTTTCTTTTAAAAGCGGCATAGTGGTGCACTCGTCGAGTTTTTGGAATCAGTCCTTCCATGCCGTCGATGCTAATGCACTACAAGATGAACTCCTCAGCACACGTACGAAGTGCCGCACATGGGAAACACATTGGCAGAAATGGCCGACGCGCCATGCCGACGCACGTAAGGGATGGCCATTTTGGAAATGCCGATGGCAATAGAATGACCGTATTCATTTTTTTTTCGTACTCGATTCTAACGCGCATGCGATTTATTAACTCGCTTAACGGGAAAAAAAGTGCGCGTTAGATTCGAGTAATTACGGTAATCGATACTCTACTTCCCTACCATCATGATGCTTCAGAGTGTCCACCTATCTTCGAGGCTGCTCGACAAGCCAAAGAGTGTTGCCAGCTTGCCTGTACGTTCACTTCGGAGGAGCAGCAACGCCAGAAAGAAAACCGTAGCACCTCTCCTCCAGATCTCGCCTATGCCCCAGGATCTCTTGTGTGGCTCCCCATCCCATACAAAACTCCAAGACTCTCCTCGAAACTTATCCTCCGGTATGAGAGACCTTACATCGTTTTGGAGAAAACCTCTCAGGTTAATATCTTTATTGAGCCAGTTTCTCGAACGGACAACATGTGCCGGTGTGCACGTGACATCGTCCATGTTTCCCGCCTCAAACCGTATCATGAGCCTCTGCCTGAAACTTCTTAGGTCGCCAGGATGGCTCCTTTTTCAGCGGGAGCGATTGTGAAGAAGAGGATGCGCCTACAGCGAGTAGCATCGCCAACGCCTGGCTCTCTTGGTTCGTGCTTCAGTTCGCTGCTGTGCTGGCCTCTGGACCGTTCATCACGCTGCCTCACCCCTGTCCTTAACAAATAATAAACCTCTTCACATTTCTTTTTTAAAGAAGGTTTTCTCTCTCTCCAAGATGTACAGCGCTATGAAGACGCTTATATTGAGCACCCATGTTTTGTTATGACTTTGTTAATGTGATCTTTGCGCGGGATTAACGATATGCTGTGTATACGCTGACAGCTTTAGTCACCAGAGCGGTTCTATGGACATTGATAGAGTATGTTCAATGATAGCAAGACCGGAAACCAATGTTACCATGAAGTGGTTTTCTGCTCACACTGGGGAGCAGGACGCGGGCCCAAACCGCAATGAGGCACATGAGCTAACCAGCCGTGTGTCTCCTTCAATGCATTTCTTGGAGATACAACGACCTGATGCCGAAGAGTATTCCATCACAACCTATGGCCACGTTCTGCAGTGGTGCAGAATGAGCAGATGCTTCTACCTACAGCCTTACAGAGACCTCCATTATAGCGAAGCAGCCACGCTACGGCAGTTGCAAGTACAAGCCGTATGGACCCCCGTCTAGACAAAACATGTCTGCCCGGAGGTATACTCTGCAAGGAGGTGTGAGCCACCCAGAGACACCTCCTCTGAGACGGTGAGCTATTGCCTGCCGGGAAACCAAGAAGAAGCAATACCAACTGCCATCAGCAGCCAGATCATCAACCGAGAGCCAGGCAACCGAGAGCCAGGTTTAAGATCGTCTAGCTCGTGCTTGCCATCCTGGAGCGCCAGCGGTTCAAAGCGGTGCACCAACGGGTTCGACACGATTAACTCCAAGACGTCTGAGCACACTAGTGTCTCGCTTCAATTCTCCTACTTCCTCACCCTTTATCGTCAATAAAGTTGTTTCGCTCACTCAGCGACCAGAGCAGTCTTATAGTGATCACTGGCGTCAGTCTTTGCGATGGACGCTGGGCATCAACATGGCTGTACCATCTTCAAACTGCGCTACAGTTACCAAAGACCACTATACATTGTACAAGCTCTCATATATCACTACAATATGAGCACTGTCTTCTTTTCACTTTTGTGTAGTACTGATTCCTGTGACTGAGGGATCAACCATGCTTTTATTTTTCACTTTTTTTTTAACACGTGCTCCAAACAAAAACACAATATTAGAATTTCTGCTGAACTTATTGCTGCCATGCTGTAATGATAGCCCAGTTTTGATTACCTGTTTAGTTATTAACACATTGGTACCCGAATGCATTTTTCGACAAGAATAACGAAGATAGTTCATGAAGAGCTCACTCACCAGTCTTTTGCCGCCCCAGCCAGCGACCGCCAAATCGGTCACCACTCATGAGCTCACCATGTTTCGGTCACTCCACAGAACCATTTCACGATTAAGGTTCCTGTAACTCTCTTCTGCACAAGCGCATACAAATGACAACGATGGTTGTCATCGACATGTTGATGACAACTGTTGTTGCTGCTTGTGATGTTCACAAAGACTACTTTCTTTTTTTCTGAACGCGGCCGAAGGCATCGCATTATCCTCACTGCACTTCGGTACTTTGGTTTGGGTGACTTGGCCTGCGAAATGTTGTTTTTCAGGACTGGTGAGGGTCTTACATCACTCCTCTGGCAGCCAATGAAAGCAGCTGAGCCATGCGCAGGAGTATTTGCGGAGCATCCACCGAATAAGAGAATTCGCTTCATTTTTCTCCGTCCGTGAGCCACTGGAGTGAAACGGTGGAAAATGAACATATATACTCTGGTACATTCCAGTTTGAATGAAGCCACCAGAGTTCAGCAGGGGCATCATAGCCCAAAACTGCATATATTTTTGTTTACAGTGTAGTCACTGCATATATTTTAGTTTACAGTGTAGTTGATAACGTTGTTGAGACATTATTTGCCTTATATATCGCCAAATGAAAATAATGCATCACATAATAGAACACTACAAGGAATTTTTTCGCAGGCTGGACCCGGCCCTTATCCGTCCCGGGCGCGTAGACGTGCGCGAGTTCGTGGGCCCAGCGAGTGACCACCAGTTGGCGGCGCTGTTCAGGCGCTTCTACCCACAGGAGGGCGAGGCAGACGCCGGCGCATTTGTGCAGGCCGTGCGGCAAGAGTTTGGCCTCATGCCCCTAAGCATGGCGTTGGTGCAGGGCTACTTCCTCTTCCACAAGGACGACCCCCGGTCAGCCGTCCGAAACGTTGCGCAGATGGCCAAGTTGTGATGTCAAGCGTGCTTGTGCAGCAGTTGTATGCATGCGTGCGAATCACATTTTATGTTCAATAATAAAAAAAATAAACGCAGGTGTTTCGACTACTACAAATAGAGCAATGAATTAGTATTATGTTGTTGGGCGGAAGAGAGAGCTGTTCGCTATTCTGGCTGATTGCAACAAAATTTGCTCACACTGTATAATACAGTAGAACATGTGACGGAAATGCTGTGCCTTCTTGCACAAAAAAAAAAAAGAAATTTGGAATTGGGCATGTTGTGCGTGCGCATTAGAAGGAATAGTGCTTAGCCTACAAGCGATTCGTCTAAGGGTCGGGGTTTTGAAGCGTATGTATTTGGTGACGCATTTGAAAAAGAAGTGCTGTGGCACAAGTATTTATGACAGCAGGTTCGGTCTTGGGTTCCGTGGTTGCATTTCAATGGGTGCGAAATGGCAAGAAACGCTGGTGGGTGGGTGCAAAACATTATTGTTGTTCGGCAAGACGCATGTTAGCGCGCAGTAGTAGACCACTTTCACATCAGGACTGCCAGGTCAAGTTTGTCAGCCGCTCCGCGACCACGCTGGGCACTGCAGTTCAACACTGTGAAAGCTACGGGGTGTAAGAAAAAGCGTTAGGTAGAAGAAGCTAGAAGCTTCCGATGAAAAATCAGTAAGCAGGCACTTTGTCGAGCTGAGGTGTCGACAAGCAGACTTGTCTTCCTCAAGGGTAAAACACAACCGATTTTTTAGTGCTTGCGTGTCTACGCAACACCCCCTAGATTTCTTTTTAGCGGGTGTTGGTCTAAGTTTCGTGCTCTCTCCTCCATCCTAACAAAGCAGGAGGGGAGGGGTAACATTGAACGCGTGGGTATAAAAGAGTGGGATGGGTGGCTGTGACAAACTGTATGAGTGAAGAAGGAACAGGTGTTCCGCCAAGGAAAATAAATCCCATTTGTCAGAAGTTAAGAATGGCAAGTATGAAATTCTTAGATGGAAGGCTTAACTCGCAGTGGTTTTGTTTGTGTATGTTCCAGACCAAATGTATTCAAGAGTCCCTCGTGAATAAGGTATGACTCTGCATATTTTCTGTCTCTTGTGGACCAGAAACGACAGAAACAGAAACGACTGTGTACATTAGGGTTTAAGATCATCAAGGTTGTGTCATGCTACATTAAAGTGCTGTGCCACTGCATTCTGTGATTTCTTTGCCATATCCGTGCAATGACCGTTTAATTACCAAAAGCAGTGGCACAGCATTTTAATGTATCAGGACATAACCTTGACGATCTCATACTCTACATTCTTCACTCAAACTTCCAGCCCCCAAGAGACGATATTTATAGATATTTTACTTAAGACTTGTGGTCGCCGCTATCTTGGGCTGTTAACTTGATGTTTTTTTTTGTTTTTCTAGATTGCGCCATGAATGAATAAGGCCATGAAACATAGTATGCACCAATTCAGCTATTTTCATGTGTACATGTCTACTGTAACACTGTTCGTTTAGTTGTTGAAGATTAAAAACACAAAGGTTACTATCACAAAATGGTGGTTTTGGGACGGTGAACCCCACATGTCATGTTGATGTTGGATTAAATGGCCATCGTGCACACATGGCAAAGAAATTATCGAAAGCAAGGGCACAGCACTTTAATGTAGCACGACAAACTTCGGCGATCACAAACTCTGCATTCTTCAGTCAAACTTTTGGTCCGCAAGAGACAAAAAATATAGACTATTTTACCTAAGACTTGTGGGTGCCGCCGTCTTGGGATGTTAAGGGGGGACGTGGCAATGGAAATTGTAAATTTGGTCAAAATGTTCACTTTTTCACATAATTTTTTACTGTGATTCTGAGACCATGTCTTAAATCATAGTGTGATTTTACATCAAAATAAGTAGAATTTGAGAATCAAGCATTTTACTGGTGGGCTGTTGTCAAAAGGTGTGTGAAAATTGGGCATATCAAAATGCAAATTTGTAGCTTTTCCTTGGCAAAGTGCCGCCACATTGGTATCATTATAAAGAGGACAGATTGGAGCTCAAGATAGCCAGAAAGATGCATTTCTCCAATTAAAAAAAAAAAGCCAGCTTCCTTCGTAGTTCCGTTTTGTCAGCTTCTAGCTACAATTTCTTAGAGCTTCATTTCCTCAGGTTTCATTTTTTGAACAAATGTTGTCAGTCATCCCTGTGCCATTTCACAACTAATTAAACTATAGCCATTCTATTTCCTGCACTTGGATTCTGAGACATTGGTGAGCGCCGTAGAGCTGTTCATATTTGTGTGCATACCATACAGACTTTTGTAATTGGCTTTTTGTAAATATTGTTGATAAGAGCATGTCCAGGACATTTCCGGAAAAAAATTGTGTGCTTATTTAATTATTAAAATAAACCAATAGCATTACAGCACAAAATGGACCCCTGTAAATATCATTATGCACAAATTTTGATGAATTTGTGTCTAATTAGCTAATTAATTTTGGGGTGACATTGAGAGTCTGTCAATTGTTGTAGCTCAAAAGTTATATTAGATAGCTCAATACCTATTTCAGTTATGATATTAGCACAACAAATGACATCTGCATGCCGAATTTCATCTCTTGAGCTTCATAAATAACAAAGATCATTTTCATTACCACGTCTCGCCTTAGGTTTATGTTTTCTTGTTTTTGTAGATTGCACCGTGAATAAATAAGGCCATAAAAAATTGTACTCAACCGTGTATGCGTCTACTGTAACACTGTTCATTCAGTTGTTAAAAATCCAAAACACAAAGGTTCCCAGCACAAAATGGTGGTTACTGGACGTTAAACCCCACATATCATGTTCGTGTTAAATTAAACGGCCATCTTGTGAACAGTGCAAAGAAATCACCAAAAACAGTGGCACAGCATTTTAACGTAGCAGGACACAACCTCGACGATCTCAAACTCTGCATGCGTCAGCCAAACTTCCGGTTCGCAAGAGAGAGAAATAAACTTTATTTGCGACTAGGTGCATGTTCTCTTTGCCCAGAGGTAAGCGACTTCCTCATTCCAGGTAGCCATGGCTAGCTGCCGAAGCCCGAGCCCTTTCCACTAGCCGGAGCTGATCCTCAGAGTATACCGACGTCAGCAACACCTCCCACTGGTCTTCTGGATTTTCTTGTGCGCTGTGTTCATCTATAAGGGGGACACTCGTGTTGTATCGACACCCCACACCATGTGGAACAGGGTGTTTGCAAAGTCTGGGCAGTAGTGACAGTTCCTGCTGTAGTTGCCGGGATACATTGTGTGTAGTAGTGTACCATGTGGATAGGTGCCTGCCTGTAGCATTCTTCAGGTCACCGCTTGCTCTCCACTCAACCTTTTGTTAGCAGGTGGATAGCGGCGTGGTTGCTTTCGGTGGTGCACAAATATCTCGGAGTATTTTCTCGGTACAGTCGGGCTCACATATAACGGCCCCACTAAAACGAACTTTCGCTTAAAATGAACAATATTCGCATGACCTTGAAAATATACATTGGTTCAATGACACAAAATCACACAACGAACGTCTCCGAGCGCCGCTGATTGGTTACAGCGAACGGAGTTGGCGGTCTGCCGAATTCCCGGGAAACCAATGCTGACCACCGATCAGGCATCGGCGAGGTGCCCATACATTTTTAGTGTTAAATGCCGACCCTGCTTCTGCGACCCTCTAGCTGCTGCTCTCTTCAACCCATGGAGGAAGGAAAGTTTTCTTCCTCCATGCCCCGACTGCTTTTTGTTACACACCCCTCCGTCCTTTGTCCCCCCGTTACTCTGAGCACCCTGCATCGCCAGACGAGGCCTGTGTTTTCACACTGCCACTGATCTTTCAAAGACTGGTCGGCCATCTACCCTGTTTTTGATCGCTGGTACTGTCGTTGGTGTCGCCGGCCTGGAGTGACCAGACCATTTGCCAACATCGTCGGCCACCGACTGTATCCGATAGTCTAGTGCATGCGCGACCGACTCTGATCATTTGCGATTCGTTTTGTGTTCAGTACTTGTTCTCGCTCACTTCGCACTCGGCTCAGCATGCGTTCCGCGCGCGTGCGGTAACGCAAAAATGGCTGTTAATTTGCGCAGAACGAATTGCGAAACATCAAAGTTCGTGAGGCCACGCAAACCCGCTGGCGCAACAAAACGATCTTTTTTACCACGGCCGCCGATTCTTCGAACACCGCCACGCGCACTGATCCAGCCGGCGATGCTTCGACTTCCGCGCGCGCACGCACTCTTTCCAAGTTTTTTACGTGCAAGTTTCGCGGACCTTTCAAGCAAGCTACCCAAGCTGCCTCCTTCCCGTGTGTTTTGGTTTTCAAGATCACCCTCCCACCGCATCGTCCCCTCTCTTTATCGCAACTCCTTGCCCTTCTCTCGCAGGTCTGCTGTCTTCTCTTGATCACAACCCTTTCGACCGGGGTGGGACTGTTCTCACAACAAATCCGTGCAGGGCGGGGCCTCGCCGCGATGACGTAGCCACCATTTCCTTTTTTTTTCTCTCTCTCCCTTCCTCTTTGTATGGCAGCGCATTCGCTCAACACCACCTAGACTTGAGGCACTGCGCCGTGTGGCCTGTAGGCAGACAGAAATTAGGTGCCTTCTTCCTTTTCCTCATGAACCACTAACAACAACCTAGACTTGGTTCGCTGTGTGCTGTTCGGTGGCTGTATGCTGTGCGCGGCGTCTCCTTGTTCTGTGGCGGCGTGCGCTGTCTTGTCATATTAAGCTGTTGAGAGGTCCTTGGCTGTTGTCAACGGGAGGTATGCTGTGCGGACATCAAGAGACCTAAATGTAAGAATGTCTCGATTGCTTCTTAATGTTTTGCTCTGCGCGTAGATTTAGCATTGAAATACGTAGATGAAGAAACTCAACATGGCAGGACAGGCTTGTTTGCAGTTGCGGTTAGTGCAACACTAGACAATTGATTGGTTTTCGCCTTTTTGAAGGTCGGGTTATCATTGTTCTGGTTGCCGGTTCAGTTTCCCTGGCACCGATTCATTTCGGTTTGAGTGGAGTACCGGGTCCGGGACATGACCCGATCTTCAGAAATTTTGAGAAACGTTATTGGAAGTGAACTGTTTTAGTTCCGGGCTCCAGTCATGATTAGAACAGCGCATGCAAGCTAATCATGACTTAAAAAAAAATTAAAGGTCTGCCATAGGGTCACATACCTTATCTATTCTGCTCCTGTGCTCTTTAGATAATTGCCTTGAATTCAAGGCAGAGCTGCGCTTGGGCCTTTATTTTGTTTACATTTGTGCGTTTCAGAATTAACATTTATGTTATTTCAACACCGAAAAAGCAATCGTGCGCAACACGAGACACGAATTGTGGTTGGGTTATTCGTGACACATCCGTATGTGCCATCCCTTGTCCTGCTAAAAGTGTAAATTACACGTTAGAGCGGGGCAGGCCCGATGTTGAACTCGTATGAGAAGCTGAAGCGTCAGTGTCGAGCTTTTTTGTAGTGTTGTATTAAGAACCCAAGGCCAAACCAAACTGTAACGTGTTGGTGCTGCTTGTAAGCTGTAACTTAAACGCCATATGAAAAAAGTCTGGGTAATTATTAATAATAATGATTATATTTATTATTCTGTTGACGAAAGCCAGCCAGAATTTCTTGCTAGAGGCAGCGCATCTTAAACTTTTTTTGCTGCCATTACACAAAAACTAAAACGAGATTTGATATTGCCCTCTGCCATGCATAAAACTAGGTGCCTTCATTAAATCCTCTTTATTGTTTATTTTCAGCCAATGTCGTCTTCTCCGTGATCCACTGCGGATCTCGAATCCCTCTGGACAATGTGCCGTTTCCAGTTGTCAAGAGAACCGTCAAAGTATGCATATCTGGAATGGAATACTAGCAGAAGACACAGGAGAAAAAGAAGACCAAATATGTTACATAGTGATGCACTTGCAAACATTTCAATCTCAGTCAGATATGCAGTAGCC